AGAGGCCCAGTGCATGAAATTTGTGCACTGGTAGGGTCCCTCGCAGCTGCCAGCTGTCGGCCAGGACCTCCCTCCCTTCCCCCGGCTGGCCCCGCCCCCTGGTCCAACTCCCAGACGAACTCCCAGTCGTGGGGACAATTTTCGTACTATGCTTTTATTATGTAGGATTACCAAGGTAGTGGGCACCTGACTCTGGACATTCTCTCTGGATCCCTCGGCCTTTCTGGGATCCATTTCTTTTTAGATTGCTTCATGCTATTTCTCCTCTTCCCTCCTATGCAGCAGTAACAAGGAACAAGGCCCTTCTGCTGAGCAGGAGGCACCTTCCAACTTAAACACTAGGTGGAAAGTGGGTGAGTCTTACAGGAGGGATGTTGAGATCGGCAGGAAGCTGCACCTCTGGTCTGGGGAAAAGCATGGCAACGCCTTCGTGGGCTCATCCCTACTTCCTGAGAAAGGAAACTAGTAGAGGCTGAACCGTGGCCTCTGTACACATGCCTGACCCCCTCATTAGCATGCTGCTCTCTATGGCAGTAGACATAGAATCAAGAACAGAAAGCTAGCCCTGGCCGGTTTGGCTCAGTGGATAGAGCACCGGCCTGCAGACCAAAGGGACCAGGGTTATATTCCTGTCAAGGGCACGTATCTTTTTTTTTTAAATATATTTTATTGATTTTTTACAGAGAGGAAGAGAGAAGGATAGAGAGTTAGAAACATCGATGAGAGAGAAACATCGACCAGCTGCCTCCTGCACACCTCCCACTGGGGATGTGCCTGCAACCAAGGTACATGCCCTTGACTGGAATCAAACCTGGGACCTTTCAGTCCGCAGGCCGACGCTCTATCCACTGAGCCAAACCGGTTTGGCAAGGGCACATATCTTGATTGCAGGCTCCTCCCCGGCCCGGCCCTAGTTGGGGCGCGTGCAGGAGGCAACCAATCAATGTGTTTCTCTCACATCGGTATTTCTGTCTTTCCCTCTCTCTTCCACTCTCTCTAAAAATCAATGGGAAATTGTCCTCGGGTAAGGATTAAAAAAAAAAAAAGAAGATATGAAAGCTAAATCTGAGCTCTCTTCTTCCTGAGACCCTACTAAAATAATAGCAAAGAAAATAAAAATGTATGACTTGGCAATAAAGAAGCATCTAAGAGAGCCACAGACACCGTGACCAGGGCCGCTGCCGTCACCGCCACCGCCACCATGGGTGATCAGCAGCTAGATTGTGCCTTGGACTTTATAGGTACCTGCCCCCACGGCAAACCAGGGAAAACCTCAGCGACCTGATCGGCCTGGTCCCCAGTCTCTGTGAAGATAGACTGTCTTCTGTTGACCAGCCACCATGGAGTATGGCCCTCCCTTGGAAGATGGGGCCATGCCTTCTGCTCCGCTGAGGAAGCTGGAGGTGGAAGACAACAGTGCCTTTGACCCGTATGGAGACCTTGTATTTTGAAGGCGGCGTCTCATCTGTCTACCTCTGGGATCTGGACCCTGGCTTTGCTGGAGTGATCCGCACAAAGAAGGCTGGAGACTGATCAAAGCAGATCAAAGGCTCCTGGGATTCCGTCCATGTGGTGGAAGTGCAGGAGAAATCCCGGGGCCGCACCGCCCATTACAAGCTGACCTCCTCAGCGATGCTGTGGCTGCAAACCAACAAATCAGGCTCTGGCACCATGAAGCTCAGAGGCGGCCTCACCAGACAGATGGAGAAGACGACACTGTGAGCGACGCTTCGCCACACGTAGCCAATACCAGGCGCCTGGCAGAGGACATGGAAAACAAAGTCAGAAGTACGCTGAACGAGATCTAATTTGAAAAAACAAAGACATTGTCAATGGGCTGAGGTCTTTGCAGACTTTTGCAGACAAATCAAAACAAGAAGCTCTTAAGAATGACCTGCTGGAGGCTTTTCTTTTTTTAATACACTTTTATTGATTTTAGAGAGGAAGGGGGAGAGGGGGGGAGAGAGAGAGAGAGAGAGAGAGAGAGAAGAGGGAGAGAAACATCAATGATGAGAGAGAATCATTGATCAGCTGCCTCCTGTATGCCCCCACACTGGGAATCAAGCCCACAACCCAGGCATGTGCCCTGACTGGATTAGAACTGTGACCTCCTGGTTCAACCACTGAGCCACACCGGCCAATCCCTGGTGGAGGCTTTGAAGAGAAAGCAACAGTGTTAAAACCTCTGCTTCACGCTAACCAGACATGCCATACACTCATTAGATTCTTTCTTAGAAAACTCGTTTTCTGCTCCCTTCCCATGTCCCTTCCTTCCCTGACAGGTCACACAACTTGGGTTATCCACCTGCGCAGCATCATCACACCCTAAGAATAAAGCTGCTAGCCCTGACTGGTTTGGCTCAGTGGATAGAGTGTTGGCCTACAGACTGAGGGGTCCCAGGTTCGATTCCAGTCAAGGGCATGTACCTTGGTTGTGGGCACATCCCCAGTAGGGGGTGTGCAGGAGGCAGCTGGTCGATGTTTCTAATTCTCTATCCCTCTCCCTTCCTCTCTGTAAAAAAATCAATAAAATATATTTAAAAATAATAATAAAGCCACTAAGCACCCTTCTCTGTCTCCTAGGCCTGCTTCCCACCATGTTTGAGAGACTGTGTGTGTTTTGTTTGCCCAGCCCCCCATGCTCCCCCCCCTCCTACCCCCATTTATAGGCATAAAATACACTGTCTGTCTGCCTCTCCTTCCTTCCCACCTTTTTGTTACACTGGTATAAAAAGCATAAAACAAAAAGATTTTATGAAGTAACTGTGGTATGTGAAAGATAGAAGAAAAACTGGATATCTGATTCCACATGTATTTGGGAGTTGCTTGGGGTGGCGGGTGGGGGCAGGGGACAGCTCTGGGAGAAAGCAGAGGTGGCCCCAGGACTGTCCCCCACCAGCTGCCCCTGTCCCATGGAGACCGTGTTATGGTGCTGGAGGAGGGACCTGCCCCGCTTCTGCTCTTCTGGCCAGATGCTTTTCTGTCAGTTTTTATGGAATGCAAAAGGAGTTTTTGTTTTATTTTGTTTTTTTGGTAAAGCTTAAAAAAAAATCTACCTCTTATGCTTGACCTTCCTTACTTACTAAAAAAAAAAGGGGGGGGGGGGGGAAAAAAAAAAAAAAAATGAAAAGAAACTGGGACACAGTATATTTTTTTAAAAAGAATCTAAAATGCATTTAGAGGGGGAAATGGCTGAGCAAGGATCTAATTCAGTGCTACAGAATCCTGGAGGGGCTTGGGACCTCAGAGAAAGGCGGTCTGAAAGTCTGTGCCATTTCCACTGTCCCTGTTCCCACTTCCCCACCCAGAAGCCGAGAACACAAGACAGTTACAAGGGCAGTCAGAGACCCCTCTTGATGCATAGAACCTGTTCCCAAAAGACACCTACACATTCTGATTCGTCTCCTGCCTAATGGCCTTAAAATGTACCCCCCCCCCCCCCCCCCCCCCCCCCCCCCCCTTAGCAATTAGTCCCCTGGTGCCTCATTTGTTTCTGTGAATAGACAGCCAGCCAAGCGTCTCCAAACATTTGAGGACAGCAGCCACAGCACAAACCAACCAAAATAAAACACAGGAGTAGGCAAATGCAGGAAACAAAACAAAAATCGTAGAAAAGACTAAATCTATTAAACCACAGAATTCTATGGGGAAAAAAACGTTGACAACAAGAAAGAGGTGATTGCTAAAATAAAACTTAGCTGAAGGGATGGAATATAAAGTCAATTCCCAGGAAGCAGAGCACAAAGATAGGAGACATAGAGAAGGTGAGAGAAAAGGCAGGTGACAAGAGAGTGAGTCCAGGAAATACCACTTTATTCAATTGATAAGCATTCCAGAAAGAGAAAATAGAGGAAACGGAGTTGAGAAAATTACCAACAAAATAAAACAAAATTTCCCAGAGTTGAGAAAAACCTCAAGATTGAAGGGATCCATCAAATATCCAACACTGAATGCTAAAAGACCCACAGGGTTAAACCCAGACGCTTCCTAGAAGACGAGCCCCATACTTAATTTAATTGTTAATCAAGTGCAAAGGTAGGATAAAGATAATTTCAGGTGGGCAAACAGAAATTTTACCCACCACCTCTTTTTTCTTTTTTTTTTCTTTTTTTTTTCTTTTTTTAAATTAACCAGCAAAGTGAAGGAGTAAAGCAAGAAAGAAGACACAAAATCCAGAAAAGGGTGAATCCAACGCAGGAGTGCGGCAAAGAAAAGTCACTTTTAGTTGGAAGGCTAGATACTGATGGTTTGTGACTTCTCTTCAGTCTTTTTTTTTTAATATATATTTTTATTGATTTCAGAGTGGAAGGAAGAGGGAGAGAGGGAGAGGAGGAGAGAGGGAGAGAGGGAGAGAGAAACATCATTGATGAGAGAGAATCATTGATCGGCTGCCTCCTGCATGCCCCCTACTGGGGATCGAGCCCGCTATCCAGGCATGAGCCCTTGACTAGCTTCGAACCAGGGACCCTTCAGTCCACAGGCTGATCCTCTATCCACTGAGCCAAACCAGCCAGGGCATTTTTTTTTGTAGTCATAAATACATTTATTTCATTAAAAATGCTTAATTACAGTGCTGAGAGCATTTCCCCCTAGAAAAGTAGGTAAGCAATATTTCCATCAAAATGTTAGTTGTCTCTGCAAATACCTATTTTCATTTCACTGAACAGAGCACACAGCAAAAGGCTTCTGCTACTCCATTTCCCCCCATTTCCTTTTTTGTTATAAACACCATAGCAAATGTAAAAAGCTGTTTAAACAGAGAAAAATATTGTAGTCCTTGATTTTCTGCGTGAACTTAACGCAATCCACACTGTGCTTCCCACTCTTTCTCTAGGTACCAACAGTGGGACTCAAATGAAGGGGTCTTCTGGAGGGTTGGCGGCTGTTGTCATGTGTTATTTACTGGGACACTTTTCCCTGTGGATGAGGTTCCAGATGCATTTTAACAGAACACGTGCAGTCACCTCCATTCAAAGCCATGTGGCCAGACGCGTATAGAACTGGGTGGTTGGCTGGAGCCGGTGCTGAGAGCCGCGACGGCTCCACCTTGGGTCCTGTCATGGTCGGGCAGCCAGTCAGTCCTGCATCACTGGATCTGGATGGCTCCGTGCTCAAGCTGCATTTCGGGCTGCAGTGTGGGCTGCAGGGTCTCGGCCGTCTGAGCTGCCGTAGTGTGGTCAGTCACTGGCGCCAGCTGGACGTACTGGACCTGGATGTCACTGCCCTGGAGAGGTGAGCCATCCATGCCTGTGGCAGTGGGGTCTGAGGAGGCCACGGCTATCAGATGGGCCCCCTGAAGCACCTGCCCATCCTGTCCCACCTGGTGTATCTGTAGATTGCCCTCGCTGTCCTGCGTGATGTGCACCTGCTCCCCTTGAGGCACCTGAGCGATGTGGAGGTGACCCTGTGGGATTACTTGGACCTGTCCATCCTCTCCAATCTGGTGGATCTGGACCTGTTGGGCGTTGGCCAGGGCATAGTGCAGGGCCTGCGGCTGGGGCTGTGGTATCTCACTGGCGGGTGGTGGCGTGCTCCTCGGGCACTCGGATGCACTGTAAGAGGAGGAGGAGGGCGTTCTCCGAGAGAAGCTCTTGACGGCCAGGCTCTGGCCTCGCTGTTTCCGCCGCCAGGCTGTCCGGCATTTGGAGTCGATGCTCTGTTTGATTCGGTACCAGTCAGATTCCGTGATTCCAAATTTATAAAAGAGGTGACACCGGATCCCATAGATGGTGAGGGGGTCGAGCTGCTTCTTGCCATGCTTCCCCTGGCCCGAGAGGTTGGAGACGGCCTGCACCTCCCGGGGGAAGAGGTAGTCCAGCAGCGTCAGCGCCATCTTCTCTGCCGTGTAGCAGGTGGTGCTGATACGCAGCATGTCGGAGGGGACGATGGCGCAGCGCACCCGCATCTCGGGGTTGTTCTCGTCCCCCAGCCAGGTGCCGTTGGGGTAGTCCTCTTCTGAGTTCAGGGTGATGAGGGTGACGTTGTTTCCGGTGTGCTGACTTCCCGACTGTCCCCAGGTGGAAACGGAGTCACTGGCCTCGGACCCGCTCTCCCCGTCCTCATTGTGGCTGTCTTCCTGCCCGGGTACCTTCACCACAATGGTGTTCTGCCGGCGCCCGGGAACCGCGCTGCTAATGATATTTTCCAGGGAATCCGGTGCCCTGTTGCTCAAGGGGTCGTCCATCTTGGCTACAAGGGCGTTCTGCCCATCACTGTTGAGTATCACCGTAGTCTGGGGGACGACGCATCGCACTTTGTTGCACGTCTGTGTTGCGCTGAGAGGGGAGCCCGCCACCATGGGGACTTGGATGGGACTGTGCTGCTTGTTAATGACCAGATACAGCTTTTCTTCTAATGATTTACAAGTAGCCTCGAGAGCTTGCAGCTTGGCTTCAATTCTATCCATTCGCAAGCATGTTGTCTGGTTAATGGAATACAGGAAGGACTTTATAGAGGGGTCCTGGCAATTGATCTCCAATCGTTGGCGTTTCGGAGCTGGTTCATCTTCGTCTGTCACTACGTGATTCTCCAGTACAACCGGGTGATGGTGACTCAGGTCTCCTACTGCAATCTGCACCACGTCCGCCAGATCCTGTTCTGACATCATCCAGAAGGAGAGAAGAGGGGCCAGTCAACAAGCAAGAATCAAACTCACACAGGGCTAGGATTCTGTCACCTCAGTTGTATCCAGTAATATTCTCTGGACCTGGTGCCTGTGCCGAACACTGGGAGTTTCTTCCACCTTCGTCCTCAGCAACTGCTCCAGAGCACCGTGTGGGCTTCGGAATTCTCGTGGTGTTTTTCGGGGAGATGTGATAATGGCGCCTGTCCTAGCGAGAGAAGCCGCTGATCTGCCGCATTTTTTAAAAATATATTTTCTTATTGATTTCAGAGAGAGGAAGGGAGAGGGAGAGAGAGACAGAAACATCAATGATGAGAGAGAATAATTGATTGGCTGCCTCCTGCCCGCCCCACACTGGGATTGTTGGGGTCCATCCCCTTCCGGTCCAGGGGTTCCCAAAGGTGTGGACAGAGTCAGCGAAGAAGGAATGACTCGGAGGCGGCGTTCAGTTGATCAGCATAGCAAGGTTCTCTAGTCAGGTTCTGTCTTTATTGTCCTGTTACATCTGTATTTATACCAGTTGATTTTACTCCTATCTATTCTATTCCAAAGGTTAGGGCGTTTCTTATCTCCATTCCAAGATTACTCTAGTGTTCTATTAAGCTACAGGGAAGTACCTGAGGGAGATTATCCTAAGTAAAGATTATGTAGCTTAAGCGTGATTGTTCGTAGTTAAAGTGATTAATTACCCGCCTGGCACTTAGTTAAGGGATTTTATTTCCTCCCTAACTCTAGGAAAAAATACCTATCTAGGGAAACAACTTTTCTCGGAGAGGTGACCTTGGTTAAAACACATAGCGCTAAGAAGAGGAGCAAACATATTAAGAACAGTATGCCATATATGCCAGGTCCCTTGAAACATATGCTGTGCAGATGTTTCTTCCCTACAGCGACTGTGTCAAGCAGCAAGGATGGCCCGACTTCTGGCAGGGGATCAAGCCCACAAACCGGGCATATGCCCTGATGGGGAATTGAACCCTGACCTCCTGGTTCATAGGTCGACACTCAACCACTGAGCCACGCTGGCTGAGCAAGTTATGTTTTCTATTCCCCTCACAGATCTAGGCTACACAACAGTCTCAGAGTCCTTGGATCACACATTCTTACTGCTTCCAGGCCACTGCCTAGGGATGGCTTTCTCTAACTTATATTGCAACTCTAAACTACAAAAATGTTGCAATGCCAAGAAGCTGAACCAGACTGGGTGCAATCAATGTTGTTAGTATTGCAAATATAATTTGTTAATTACATTTTTATTGACATATAATGCACATGAAATTCACACTTTTAAAATATACAATTCAGTGGTATATTTACAAGGTTGTGCAACCACTACCACTAGCTAATTCCAGCACATTTTTATGGCCCCAAAAAGAAGCACTCTATCCTAACAGCCACTCTCAATTCCCTTCTCTCCCTATCCCTGGCAACCAATAATCTACTTTTGGTCTATAGATTTGCCTGTTCTGGACATTTCATAAAAGTGGAATCTCACAAGATATGGTCCTTTATGTCTGGCTTCTTTCACTTAGGATAATATTTTCAAGGTTCAATTATGTGGTAGCATGTGCTAGTACTTCATTCCTTTTTGTGGCTGAACAATATTCCATTGAATAGATATATCACAACTTGTTTATTTGCTCATCAGTTGATGGACATTTAGCTTGTTTTTACATTTTGCCTATTGTGAATAATGCTGCTATGAGCACTCATGTGCAAGTTTTTGTGTGAACATGTTTTCAAATCTCTCAGGTATACACCAAAAAGAGGATTTGCTGGGTAATGCGGTAATTCTGTGTTTAGCTTTTTGAGGAACCACTAAACTGTTTTCCATAGTACCTACATCATTTTACCAGTGATGTTTGAGGATTCCAATTTGTCCACATCCTCTCCAACACCTTTAAAAAAATTTTAAGTTATGGTAAAATATACATATACTATAAAGTTTCCCATTTTTACCATTTTTTAATTTTTAAAAATATATTTTTATTGATTTCAGAGAGGAGGAAAGAGGGAGAGAGAGATAGAAACATCAATGATGAGAGAGATCATTGATGGGCTGCCTCCTGCATGCCCCACACTGGGGATGGAGTCCGAAACCCCGGCATGTGCCCTGACTGGGAATTGAACCATGACTTCCTGGTTCATGGACTGATGCTCTGAGCCATGCTGGCCGGCCCATTTCCACCATTCTTAAGTGCACAACTCAGTAGTATTAAGTACATTCACATTGTTGTGCGACCATCACCACCACCCATCTCCAGAACCTTTTTTTCTTTTTCAATCAATATTTCTTTTTTATTGTTTTTGTCAGTATTACAAATGTCTCCCATTTCACTTTTAGACCTGTCCACCCAACCCCAACCCCACCCCGGGCCTTCTACACACTATAATCTGTGTCCATGTACGGAACTTTTTTCATCTTGTAAAACTGAAACCTTGTATCCATGAATCACTAACTCCCTATTTGTCCAGCTCCTGGCAGCTGCCATTCCACTTCCTGTCTATATGAATTCGACTACTTTAACTAGCTACATCATATGAAATGTTAAAATTCCTTTCTCATTTCCTTTTGTGTATATCCTATAACTATATTCGTGGTGGTTTCCATGGGGATTGTATATAATTAACATCCTAAAGTTATAACATTCTAATTTGAATTTATACCAGCTTAATTTCAATAACATACAAAAACTGCTTCTAGCCCTGGCCGGTTTGGTTCAGTGGATAGAGCGTCGGCCTGCGGACTCAAGGGTCCCAGGTTCGATTCCGGTCAAGGGCATGTACCTTGGTTGCGGGCACATCCCCAGTGGGGAGTGTGCAGGAGGCAGCTGATCGATGTTTCTCTCTCATTGATGTTTCTAACTCTCTATACTCTCCCTTCCTCTCTGTAAAAAATCAATAAAATATATTTTTTTAAAAACTGCTTCTATACAGCCCCATCCCTACCCTTTCAATTATTGATGTCACAATACATCTTTATGTATTGGGTGTCCAGAAACATAGACTAATAATTTTTTACACATTAGTTTCTTAAATCATGTAGAAAACAAACAGTGGAGTTACAAACCAAAGTTATAATGATACAACTTTTATAATTGTCCATGTATTTACCTTTATCAGAAATCTTTACTATTTTGATCTATATGTCCTGATATGGTTAATGTTCATTATATATATTTTTTCTTTACTTGTTATATCAGCTCTAATTTTTTAAATATATTTTTATTGATTTCAGAGAGGAAAGGAGAGGGAGAGAGATAGAAACATTAATGATGAGAGAGAATCATTGATCAGCTGCCTCCTGTATGTCCCCTACTGAGGATCAAGCCCACAACCTGGGCATGTGCCCTTGACCAGAATTGAACCGGGGACCCTTTAGTTCGTAGGCCGACGCTCTATCCACTGAGCCACACTGGCTAGGGCCATTTTATCTATATGTGTGTGTGTGTTTAATATTTTTGTTGATTTTAGAGAGAGAGGAAGGGAGAGGGAGAGAGCAACATTGATCAGCTGCCTCCTGCATGCTCCCTACCGGGAATCAAACCAGCAACTTTCGGTGTAGAGGTCAATGTCCAACCAACTGAGCCACAGTGGCCAGGGCTATATATTATTAAACGAAACAAGCAAGTTGGTGAAGACAATGCATAGTATTGTCCCACTTGTATTTTTTAAAAATTTATCTAAAAAGTATGGAAGGTTTATACACAAAACTGTACCAATAATTTTGGGGAATGAGCAAGTTCCTTTACTTTCTACCTCATACATGTCTCTTTTTTTCCAGTAAGTATGTATTTATTGTATAATTTTTAAGTACATATATTTAAACCCTAGCCAGTTTGGCTCAATGGATAGAGCATTGGCCTGCAGACTGAAGGGTCCCAGGTTCGATTCCAATCAAGGGCACATGCCCTGTTGTGGGCTTGGTCCCCAGTGGGGGGCTTGCAGGAGGCAGCCGATCGATTATTCTCTCACATCATTGATGAATCCATCTCTCTCTCCCTCTCCCTTCCTCTCTGAAATCAATTTATAT